CCAAGAGCACACACCGGTCGCCGCCCCGCCTCTGTCGCCAACTACCACCAGATGCCCCCCGGACGTTGTGGGCGGGGTTGGTTTTCGCGGTTCCCTGCCGCCCTTTGCCGGGCCGTTTGCTGCTTCGTCCGCGCCGCCCCGCCCCCCCTCCGCCCTTCCCTACTCGGTTTCTTCCCCTTTCTCTTCGCTTGCTGTATGTTCTGGTTGCCCGCCTATCCCTCCACGCTGCGCCTTCCTCTTGCGTCTTCCTTATCTTCTCTTCTTCTCTCTCTCTCTCCTTCATCTCTCTCCGATCTTCTCTTATCGAAAAAAAAAAAAAAATCTCTCCTCTCCTCTATACGCGTTCGTCTCTTGCCTTGCCCACTTCTCCTGTGGCGTTTATTGTCCCCCGTGCTGCCCGGCCCCCGGCACCCCCTTTCCTTTGTTCTGCTCCTTCTTCCTTCCCTCTCTCTCTACTCTCATCTCTCTCTTCTCTCTACTCTCGTCTCTCTTCCCATCTTCCTGCGGCCCGAAAACCCCCGGTTGCCCCCCGCACTACAAAGTTGACCACACCGTGTCGGCCGCGCCTCACCGCTCCCCACGTTCTCCCCCTCATTTCTGTTCGGCCGCCCGCGCGCCGCGCCGCGTGGTGCGGTTTGCCCCTTCTTGGTCTTTTCTTCCTCCCTCTTTTGGCGGTCCTCTTTTGTTCCCCGGCCTCTTTTGGGTCTTCTCCTCCTCTTTGTCTTCTTTTCCTCTTGCTTGTGGTGGTTTGCCTCTTTTCCGTCGCGTTGGTCTTCTGTTTCGGCCTAGTGGCCTCCCTCCCTCTTTGGCCTCGCGTTCTTGTCTTTGCTGCTTTGTGGCTGTTTGGCTCGTGTGGTCGCCTGCCCCTTTGTCCCCCGCTATTCTTCTCGTGGCTTCTTTGGTTGGTGTGGTCCCGTGGTTTTTTCCCCGCTTTGGGGTTTTCCCCGTCCATCGTGTGTTCTTGTGTTTGCTCTTTCTTTTGGCTCTTGTGTCTCCTCTTGTGTTTGTGCTCACTGTCGTTCTGTGCTTTTTCCTTGTCGCCGGCGTGGCTTTTTCCCCCCCCGTGGTCTCCGGCCCCTGGTTGTTGCTGGTCCCTTTGCCTGGCCCCCTCTGCGTCCTCTGGTCCCTTGCCTGGTCGCCTTCTCCCCATTTGGCCGGCCCCGCTGCCGGCTTTTTGTTTGTGCCGCCCTTCCCTCTCCCTGTGTTTGCCCCTGCCCGGCCCGCCCGCCTGTCCGCCGCCGCGTGGGCCTTTGCGCCCCCCCCCGTTTGTGGTTCTCTTCGCACCGGGTTGCCTCCTTTCTCCTCCCTTCTCCCCGCGCCCCCTGCCCGGCCTGTGGGCTCCCCTTGCGCCCCTGTCTGCTTCCCGCCCGGCCCTCCCCCTTGTTTTTGCTCCCCCTTGCTGCCTCTCCGCTTCCGGGCCGGTCCCTTGCTCCCTGCTCCTGTCCCTGCTTTTCCGGGTGTTCTTGCTCCGTTGTCTCGCCTGGCCTCCCTTTTGCGGCTGCGGTCCTTGGTCTCTGGTTGCTTCCCCCTCTCCTGCTTCTTGGGCCCCCTTCGGGTTCTTTGCCCCCTTCTGCTCCCCCCGTGTTGTGCCCCTGGCGTCTGTCCCGTGGTCTCTTGCCTGCGCGTCCCGCCGCCGCTCTCCCCCCCCTCCCCTTCTCCGTCCGCTCTTTTGGTTCCCCCTGCTCGGGGGCGCCCCCCCCGGGGTCCGCCGGTCGCGCTCCCCCGCTCCGTCCCGGTCTGGCCCCCGGCTGTTGCCTGTTCTCCTTGTGGCCCGCCGGGTCCCCTCCCCCCCCTTGCTTCCCGTTGCCCCGGGCCCCGCCGCCCGCCCCCGCCCGCTGCTCCCCCGCGCCCCCGGTTGGCCCGCGTTCGCGCCGTTGCTTCTTGCTTGTGCTGCGCCCGCCGCCCCGGTTGCCTGCCCTGCGCCCCCTTGGCTTGTCGCTTCGGCGCCTCTTCCCCTGTTCCCCCGCCGGCCGTTCTTCCTTCCTCTCCTCCCGGTGCCTTTTGCGCGCTCCGCCTGGGTGCTGCTGGTCCGGTGCCGTGCTTGGTCACCGTCCCCGTTTGTCTTGCGCCCCGCCCTGGCCCCCCGCTGGCCCTTCCCCTGTCCCGCTGCCCCGGGTCTCCGCCTGCCTCTCCTTTCTCCCGGCCTACGCTGCTGCTGGTTTCTGTTGTTTCTTGGTGCTGGCCCTTGGCCCCTCCCTCCCGGCTCGCTGGTTCTTGCCCGCGGTCCCCGTCTTCTCCCTTGTCCTCTTTCCCCCGCTCTCTTTCTGGTGCTTCCGTGCCTGTGGCCGCCCCCGCCTGTGCCTCGCCTTGTGGCCTCCCCGCCTTGGCCCCCCTGCGTGTGCCGGGCTTGCTTCCCTTGCCCCCGCCGCCGCTTTCCGGCGTCCCGGCCGCTCGCTTGGCCCGCTGTGTTCCTTGCCTGGCCGGCCCCCGCCCCGCGTTTCTTTTCTGCGCCCTTCTCCTTCGCCGCCGCCGCGCCCCTTGCCCCTTGCGTTGCTCCCTTCTGCTGTGTGTGGCCCCCTGCCGGTTCGCTCCCTTGGCGGTGCCTCTTCCTTTGTGCCCTTCCTTGCTGCTTCTTCTCGGCCCCTCTGGGTTTCCCCTTTGCCGCCCCCCGTGCTGTGTTTGGTGTGTTTCCCGCGTTTCCTGCCCTTGTTGCGCGCCCGCCCGGGCCGCCCTTGCCGTGCCTCCGTCCTGCCCTGGCGGTGCGTCCGTGGCCCCTTTGCTGCGTCTTGCCGCCTGCCCGGTCTTCGCCCTCCGCCCCTCCTCCTCCCCTCCTCCTTCCCTGGCTTCGCCGCGCGGCTGCCTCGGCCCCTTCTGGCGCGCGTCCGCTGTCTGCTTGCTGCCGCCCCGTTGCCTCGTTCTTTTTGGGCCGCGGCCGTTTCCCCCGCTGTTCCTGTTCTCCCTTCTCTCCCGTTCTTGCTTTGCCTCCTGCCGTTCCTGCTCCGGTTTGGTGTGGCCCGGCCGTTTCTTCTGCTCCCCTCCGCGTCTTCGGTTGTCCGGCCTTTGTGCCTGTCCCCCGCGCTGCCCGCTCTCCGTTGGCCTCGCCGCCTCGCCCGTGCCTTTTCCTTGGTTCTGGTCTTGCTGCCTTTGGCTCCCGCTGTCTGCTCCCGTTGCGCCGCCGCTTGTGCGCCGCCGTGCTGTCGTGTTCTTTGCCGCTCCCCCCTTGCCGCTGTTGCCCCCGTGCGCCCGCCCGCCTCTCCCGCCCGCGGCCGTTTGGTTGCCTGTGCGCCCGTTTCCCGCGCCGCTCCCCTGCTGTTGCTGCGGTTCCCGCGCCTGGCCCGCCGGTGCTCTTGTCCCCGCCCCTCCGGCTGCTCCCGCTGCTGTGGCTGGTCCTGTTGCTGCTGTTGTGCCCCCGGCCCCCGCCGTTCCTTCGCCGGTTCCCGTTGCTCCTCCTCGCCGGTCTCCCGGGCCCGGCGCCCCTCTCCTCGTTCCTCTTCCCGTCCGTCTGTGCTCTTCCCTGCTGGGGGCGCCCCTGCGTTCTCTGCCGCCGCTCTGGCGCGTGCGCCCCCGCGCCCCTGGCTTGCGGCTCTGCCGGCTGCGCTGCCTTCCCTCTCTGCCCCTGCTCCCTTTGCGTTGGTCCGGGCCCCCCCGCCCCGGCCCGCTTTGCCGCCCCGGTGGGTCTCCCGCTTGCCCCTGCCGCGGGCCCTTCCGTTCCCCGCTTCCCCGCTCGCCTGGTGGTGCCGGTTTTCGCCCGCCGCCCGGTCTTGCTTTTGCTGCCCTTTTCTCTCCTGTTGTGCCCTTTTCCTCCCTTCGCGTTGTGTTGGGTCTCGCCGCTCGTTTGGCTTTCGCCCTTGCGCCGCTGGCTGTCCGCCCGCTTTTCTCCCTGGTGCTTTCGCTGCGGCGCTCTCTCTGGCGCCCCTGCGGGCTTCCCCGTCCCCGGGCCGCGGCTTCTGTTTGCCGGTTCCCGCCGCGTTTGTCTGGCTTGCCGCCCGCTCCGCGGCCGTGGTCTCCCCGTTTCCTTCTCGTTCTGCGTCCGCCTGGGTCCCCGCCGCCTTCTTCCGCCCCCTGTGTTTTTGTCCCCGCTTCTCTGCTGCTGCCTTTGTTCTCTTGTTGCTTTCTGTTGCTGCTCTGTTGCTTGTTGGTCGCCCTGTTTCCCGCCTTCCCCCGTTGCCCCCCGCGTTGCGTCCGTCCTTTTCTCTGCCGGCCCTGGGCCCCGCCCCGCCCCTTCTTGGGCTGCCGCTCCTTCGTGCCCGGCCGCCCCGCCGTTGTGGTTCTCTCCCGCGCCGTCTCTCGCGCCCGTCCTTGCGCGCTTTCGTCTGGCTCCGCTCCGCCCGTGCCTCCCCCTCTTGGTCTGCCTTTCCCGTTGCGCCGCCGCCCTGTGCCTTCTCGTGCGCCCGCGCCTGCCGCCTGCCCCGCGTTCCTTCTTCTTCCGCTGTTGGTCGTTTGCTGTCTGCGCTGGTCTGTCCGCGCCCCGCTCTTGCTCCTGCCGTGGGTGTTGTTCGCCGCTTTCTCTCCCTCCCGGGCCGCCCCTTGGGCTGCTGTGCCGTGGGTTCTGCGCTCTCTTCGGGGTCCTTCCCGTCTGCGTTTGTGTTTTGGTCCCGGCCCCTCTTCTTGCCGGCTCCCCTGCTTCCGCTCTGGCCGGCGCCCTTGCTCCCGGCCTCTCCTTCCGGCTTCTCTCCTTCCCTCTGCCGGGGGCGCCGTTTCCTGGCCCTCCGCTTGCCCCCGTGTCTTGCTTTGTCTCCCCCTGCCGCTGCGTTCCTCGCCTCTGTTGCGGCCCGTCCCGCCCTGCTCTGGCTGCCGCCGTTTGTTCCGGCGCTCGGGTTTGTTCCCGCCCGGTCTGTGCTCTCTTGTGCTCGTCCGCGTGCCGTTCCTCTTGCCCCGCCCTCCCCGTTCCCTTCCCGGTCCCCCCTCTTGCCCCGCGCTCTCCTTGGCTTCGCGCTCTCTTCGCGTGCCGCTGCTTGCCCTTGCCCCGCTTCCTCCCTGCTGCTCCTGGGTCTGCCCTGCTGCCTCCCGCCTTGCCGCGCGGGCCGTTTGCGGCTTGTTGCTCTTCTCGCCGGGCTGGCGCAGATCTCTTCCCCCTCGTCGGGCGAGGGCGCTTTGTTGGGTTGGGACTTCCCCTCCTCTGTGGTCACTCGTCCTGTTTGGCCCCCGCCCTTTGTCTCCCCTCTCTTTTCTTGCGCTACCTTCTTTTCTCTTCTTTCTTCTTCTTCTTCTTCTTCTTCTTCTTCTATCTCTCGCTGTGCGGCGGCCCTGTGCCTTGCCCGGCCTTCCCTTCCTTTTTTTGCCTCCTTCTCCCTTCCCTCTCTACTCTGTTTTCCTGTTTCGGCGCTCGGCCTTGCCCGACGCCTGCCCGCCCGTCGGCCGTCGTGCGCGCTCCTTCCTCTGGCTT